TAGATAGATAGATAGATAGATAGATAGATAGATAGATAGATAGATAGATAGATAGATAGATAGAAAGAATTCTTTATTGGCTGTGTGATTGGACACACAAGGAATTTGTCTTGGTGCAAATGCTCTCAGTGTCCATAAAAGAAAAGATACATTCATCAAGAATCATCAGATATAAGACTTAATAAAACTCATAGGGTACAATAAGCAATTAAATCATTCTAGGAAACAGTCAATATAAATCGTAAGAATACAAGCAACAAAGTTATAGTCATACAATCACAGGTGGGAGGGGATGGGTGATAAGGAGTGATGAGAAGATTAATGGTAATAGTAGTGCAGACTTTGTAAATGTTTGGACAGTGTTGAGGGAATTATTTGTTTAGCAGAGTGATGGTGTTCGGGGAAAAACTGTTCTTGTGTCTAGTTGTTCTGGTGTGCAGAACTCGATAGCATTGTTTTGAGGGTAGGAGTTGAAGCACTTTATGTCTGGGATGTGAGGGGTCTGTAAATATTTTCACAGCCCTCTTTTTGACTCTTGCAGTATACAGGTCCTCAATTGAAGGCAGGTGGGTAGTAATTGTTTTTTCTGCAGTCCTAATTATCCTCTGAAGTCTGTGTCTGTCCTGTTGGCAGAGCCAAGCCAGACAGTTATAGAGGTGCAGATGACCGACTCAATAATTCCTCTGTAGAACTGTATCAGCAGCTCCTTGGGCAGTTTGAGCTTTCTGAGTTGGCGCATTTATGAAATGATTCAGGTCTGCTTTTCTTACCTCTACATGGCAGGTGTAAATGGAAAAAAAGAACTTCCCCATGAGATCCCTGGATTAAAGTAGTATAGTTAAAATGCCAATTGTTTAATGAAAGTTGAACACTGACTATATTCTATATTTATTCTATGATATATTCTACATTTATTTTCCCCAACTATTCACACGGGATGATAGTCTTCTCATAAGGATTTTAGTCTTGTGCTGTTGTGTGTGTGTAAGTTGTAGTTTTGGGGGGAGGGGGAGGCTTCAGTTGCACGATGTGGACTGTCACCTTGATTTTTTTGATCCCCCTGCCCAGCAGGAACCCTCCGTCCCTCCATGAAGCCTTAGTGAGCTGCTGCTGTGCAGAGGAAAAGTAGCAAGTACCAAGCATGGGCATCAACTTCAAGGTCTTTTTAAAAATTGGTCATTTTATTCTGCTTACTTTTTTCAAATGCAGCGAACAAAAATGATGCTTTTAAAAAAATGACCATACATCTTTTGGACATTTAACATCCAAATCTGCCTTTTATTGGGATAAAGTGCCTGAGCCTCTCGGAAGCTGCAGCCAAAGCATAAATCTGCTGACAGAAGAGCAAGAACTTCCAAGCAACTTGATCTCTGACTGTTATCCGATAGATGTTGTAATGTTGGCTGCTTTGAAAAAAAAAAAGGTTTTATGAAATCATGAAGCCACCCTGGAGACTCCAGGCTTATTCTTGCTACTTTGGTGATTGGGAGTATCACCTGCCTTTTGCTTCCTTTGTAGCATTTCTTCAATTCACCAACCTTGTTGGTTAACCAACATTCTTAAGAGTCTCTCAGATCTACTCAAACTCTGTTGTTGCAGACTATGATAACAGAACCAGGAAAGCCTGGCAGAGAATCTATGCTAAAGAGAATCAGAGTGGGATAATCTTGAGCTTTTCCTCACCTTCTCCTCTCTTTCAGACTTGAGTTTACAAAATAATCATTAAATTCCTTCTTCAAGGTCATCTCCATACTCCCATACACAAAGAGGAGGTAAGTTTTAAAAGCAAAGTTCCAGGCTAAGGAATAGCTTATTCCAATTAAAGGTCCCTTTAGATATTGGAATTTCAATTCCCAGAATCAATGAGCATAGCTGTTGGCTCTCCTGTTTGGGAATTCCGATAGCTTGAACATATTTAAGAGGTACTG